TTTAATAGAAGATGCTGAGAGGTGTAGACTTGGTATCTACACTCCAAAGTGGTTTGTTGTCTCCCTGCTGGATTCTCTCCAATAGGCGTCTCTTGGTTTTGGTGTTTCTAATGTGGGGGAAGCAAGTACCTGAAGGATTCTTCAAAGTGCTCAGGGTGACTGCAGAGAATGTGCTTCTGGGAGGGCATTGTAATAATAAATCCAGGGTGAACTTGATTATCATTTAGATTACTTGTTCAATAGGGAAAATGAAGCTTTGCAATCAGAGCTGTAGATAGGAGGGAGAAGAACCCCAGCCCCCAAAACAACCAATCATGCTGCCGTCTAGGTGACCCTTGCTGCCTCCTGGCGACACCGAATGTGTGTAGTTGTGTGTGTGTTCACACATGAAGCGGGTGAGGGTCGTTAATAAACTCTCAGGTGTGTTTACAGAGATCGATGGGGTATCGGGACTCAGCTTTTGCTCAGCTACTCGCCCAGAGCAGCCTCAAGAGGCACCAAAATCTTGGTAGCTGGTTATTGGCTGGCTTTGAAAGAGGCAAGGGCTTAAGCATGTCTGGCTTTGCCAAATTAAATTATCAACAGGCCCCGTGGCTTGGATACAATCATGAGCCAGACACACAGGCGGGAAAAAAGGATTTTCCAGAAATACAGAAATGGGCAATTTACCTTAGTAATTTTATTGAAAAAACTGAAAACAAGTCTCAAACCTCTTCTAGTTGAGCGTTAATGAGAGGTAAATATGACCATGGTTCTCTTTGCTGTCTGTCAGTGAATTGGAATAACAACGCTTCAAGGAAAATCCATAAAAGACCAAGAAGCAGGCTGAATATTGTTCTCAACAGTCACTTTAATTTCATAAAGGAAAAATTTCCTTCCAAGAGAATTGATAGATGTGATTTTGCTGTATTTTTGAACAAAGCGCATGTAGGATGGTTTCTGTTCCTTGAAATGAGGCCCCATCGGGTCCTGTTGCATGTATGTGTGCTTGGAGAACCATCTCTTGCTGCAGGCAGGTCCCAGTGGCCCTGCTGCATTTCTCCCCTGGGATCACCCTTCCTCCAGCCCACTGTCCGTCTTTTTGAGATTCAGCTCAGCTGCCTCCTGCTGCAAAGTCTCCCGGGCATGGCTTCTCCCCCCGGAGGGCTGACCACTCCCCCAGGAGCCCTCTACGCCATGCAGACCGTTGGTCCTGGCACCCAAAGGCCTTACTTATGTGGCTCTCACCCTGGGCTGTGAGCCCTTAGTCTTAGTTACCTTTGTGTCTCTACTTCAGAGCACCAAAGAGGTAAAAGCATAACAGTCATCAAATGAATGGTCACTCCGGCCTGCAGTCTGGAAGTCTTCTTGATCCTCTTCTCCCAGCCCACAGCTCACCTTGCACACGGGCAGTGTTGGTGAGGCTGGAGTCCCCCCACTTCGCCGTCTGAGCGCTGCCATCTCTAGTCTCCATCTCTCCTACTCTGAAGGAAAACTCCTTAACAGGCCTGCAAAGCTCCTTAAACAGGCTTACAGAACCCAATTCGGATGGTTCGCAGTCTTGGTGCCCAATGGCATAGTCTGGAGATTCTGGTTCTCATTTCCAGTGCCCGCATCACGGTCAGGGTCCCCAGGTGGTTGTCAAGCGTATCCGAGTGGAGAATGTTGCTGTCTTGGATCTTGTGTCCCCTGCTGGCCTGACTTTGCCCCGAGCCTCATTCCTTCGCTGCCTCAGGCTGCATCCAGTGTGGCCTTCATTGTTTCCCCCTACCCACCCCCAAGCTCAAGTTCCTCCCACAGCTGGTCCCAGGGGTCATTTGGGTTGTGGTTTAAATACCTCCTCCGGGGGCGCCTGGGTGGCTCAGTCGTTAAGCGTCTGCCTTCGGCTCAGGTCATGGTCCCGGGGTCCTGGGATCGAGCCCCGCGTCGGGCTCCCCTGCTCGGCGGGAAGCCTGCTTCTCCCTCTCCCACTCCCCCTGCTTGTGTTCCCTCTCTCGCTGTGTCTTGCTCTGTTAAAGAAATAAATAAATAAAATCTTTAAAAATAAATAAATAAATAAATACCTCCTCCCCCAAAGGGCCCTCCTGACCACCCCAGTCCCGCCACTACGTGGGCCCGTTTCGATTCCTTCAGAGCACTTGCCTGATATGTTGTAGCCAGTTTGTTAATTATCTGATCCCCCCTCCCCCCAACAAATGAAGTTCACGGTGGCAGGATCTTACCTATTTTTTTTTCTTCTGAGCATCCCCTGGTGATACAGGAGTTGCTCATTAGATGTAGGAGGAAGGAGTATAAAAGAAAGAAATTTGGGGTTGGTCTCCTCGGAAGTGGACTAGCGCTCGCCAGGGCCACCAAAATACGGATTCTGCAGTACAAGTGGGTGGCCGTGTTCTGAGGTGAAGAGAATGTGCGGACAGAGCTGGGCTAACTCGGCCTGACACCCAGCTCTGCCACTCACTCGTTCGCTTCATGAGTCTGAACAGGAAACAGCCCTTTGCACTCAGAGTTCCACAATCCTAAAATAGTAAAAAATCGTGCGCATGTCACAGGGTTGGTATGAAGATCACGTAGGGAAACATCCAGTAAATGCTAGGAGTATTGTTATAAATAGTAATGCAGATCCCTCAGGTCTGACATGCCGTTCCCTCCCCCGTCCCAAGCCATTCCCTCCTCCAAATGCCAGAGAGGATTCCATTTGCTCCGGGGAGGTTGGGAGCCTCCCTCCAGGAAGGTAGAACCGCTGCTTCTCTCCTTCATCCTCGCCAGAAAGGTCTCACTACTCATCAGATGGGTTTGGTGTTCTTACAAAAACTCAAGAGTCAGCAACCAAGGAGCACCAGTTGGGGTGGGGCTGGCCGTCTTGGATGCGGACCTGCTTGTTTGGCACCTAATATGGGCGTCTCTGCCCCGAATTTAAATTTCTGCTGAGGCACAGCAGGCCACGAAGAGTTCAGAAAACAAAACAGTGGACTTGCCAAAGAGCTCACATTTGCTTTTGTTTTCTCTTGGAAATAGAACCAAAGCTTCATTGTGGTATCAGGTGCTCTAAAGAAACAAACTTAAACAAAAAAATCTAATTTCCCAAAGTAGACCACATACAATTGGATTAAGATTTTTAAAATGTTACAAACTATGTTTGGAGCACCATTATCTGTCTGGGTTGGCCACGCCCTAATCTTGAGTAGCTCCTGAGGAATGCTAATCCGGACTTGGGTCTAATTTTTTTGGAGAGGTTCCTTCTCCTTGCCTGAGTAGGAGTCTTCAAGCAGTCACAGAATTACTTTCCCAAGACCTGGCTGCCTTACGGGGGCACCCCATTTCTCTGGGAAGTCATCAGGATGTTTCTTTCTTTCTTTTTTTTTTTAAGATTTTATTTATTTATGAGAGAGAGAGAGAGAGAGAGACAGAGATAGCGAGAGAGAGCACAGGTGGGGAGGAGAGGGAGAAGCAGACTCCCTGCTGAGCAAGGAGCCCTCACGTGGGGCTCAGTCCCAGGACCCTGGGATCATGACCTGAACTGAAGGCAGACGCTTAACTGACTGAGCCACCCAGGTGCGCCCCCATCAAGGCTCTCCCCTCCAGGCTGGTCCTAGCAGGAGTGAAAACCAAGGGTGTGCACTGGGAGGCATCTTGGAAATCTTCACGGTGACACGTGTTGACTGCTCCTTTGTCTCATGCCTTTCCAAACACGAAGGACATTTTCCCTGGGAAAATTCTATTGATTTTTTTGGTCCTCTCTCTTATACTTCTCCTTTGAATCTTGTCTTTGAAGTTAAATAATGGTGCCATTTTTTCTTTTATGTTAAATAACTAGACAGAATCCAAGCTCAGCCACTGTATTGTTTCCAGTTTGTAAATCCATAGCTGTGTTTTGTTTCTCCAGTGGGGAGAAATTTGTTAGTTTCCCTGTCTCTACCCCACCTTCGTGTATATTCGTGGATAATTTTGGAAGCCCGAGAAGTCTTGTGTGGCTCCACTGGAGTGCTGAGTGAGGGAACAGGCTGATGTGGAGAGATTAATAGAAATACTTGGGGTCTTCCCTGGGGATCACAGGGAGCCCATGTCAATTCTGTGATACTTAGCTAGGATGCTGAGTTGTCTATTTGCTTATGCTCAGTGGAGGAGGTGAACTGGTGACTGTCCAGGTATTCCAGAAAGTGTGGCAGCTTCTCAGATGTACTCCATGCAACACGTACCCCAAGAGCATTTTTGTGTGACAGGCTCTTGGCCAGTCTATAGGGCTGAGAGCCTTGTGGGAATTTGAGTTATTACAAAAGGGTATGCACACTATTTTTAAAAAATACGTACTATTTCTAAGTGTGCCATCTGTAAACATCACTGTGATTAGTAGTATGTACTCACACTGGAAAACATTCCAGACTCATAGTGATTTTCAGCCATGTGTACTTTCTCAAGGGACACTAGGCAGACATTATTCCTATGTTGCTGTCCATTGCATTTTCTGATTGGGAAAGAGCTAGTCCTCTGTGAGAATGGATGCAGAGGTTGAGTGTCCCTGATGGAGGGTCCCAGTTGTGAGTGTCCACTTCTGCTCTCAAAATGCTCTGGTGATAGCTGGGAGATCTCCTTGTCCTCAGAGGCACCAGGAGCCTAGTGTGGAGATCTTCCACCTGACACCCAGGGCTCTGCACCCAGGGTGACCCTGAAGCACAGTTTGGTGCCGCCTTGGCACTGCCCCCTGCAGAGCACACTGTAATAGTTGCTACCTGAAGCACACAGAAGGGTCGCTGTCTGCAAAGTATGTTAGATTCCAACCTGGTACTTCATGCCTGTATTTATTGTCAAGACGAATCTATTGGCTGTCAATGTCAATATAAGCGTTTCTGGTGTATGAGAGTCTACCGAGTCCTGCAGTATCTGTAGCAGGTTGGGGCTTAGACTATTGATCCTATTGACTAAGGATCAATAACAAAGTGTGTACTAAGTCCACTACAGTGTTTCTCTAGAAATGTGCGATATCCATACCTTCTGAAATTAATCCTCTTTCTGTCTCATTCCAGATAACTTGTTCAAACCCAAAGAAAGATACATTTCAGAGAAGGAGATGCACATGCGATCTAAAAGGTACTTGGTTATTGTGTGGGGTCGAAAAATGTGGGGGGAGGTAGGGGAGGGGTGGCTACTGCATCCAGGCGCTGTCCAGAGGGGTCACTATTCCCAGGTCCACCTTTAACGTCTGAGGTCTTCTTGGCCGTGAATTTGAAATGCTGGCTAAAAGAAGTGTAGTTGTCCAATTGCACCTCTGAATGTTAATGCCATTCTTGGAAAAGCCTTAGGAAAGTGGCAGGTCTTGGATTCTGAACCGACCCAGTAATTGGTCTCTAAGAGATCCCCAGACTCATAATGGGAATGCTTCTGCACACTCTCATCATCTCTGTGGGCAGGTGCTGTTTGTTACTGTGCACCTTTGAAGGTGATTTTATGAGGAGGAGAGAAGTGGTTTCTCCTGAGGGCCTTGCCAGTGTCAGAGCCTGCAGGAAGGAGTCCAACCTTGGAAGCCTGTGGCATGTGGGAGCCAGCAAAGCCACAGAGGGCCACAGGCTGGCCTTCCTGACGCTCTGTCCCTGGCGGGCTTGGCGGCTCTGCTGCTCGCAAACTCTCCCTGTTCTGCTTGGCCGGCTGCTATTCTAGACTCCTACTAATTCTCACCCACCTGATCACACAAAGGCGGTCATTCTTTCTGAGCCCTGGCCTCCTAACCAGAAGGTAATACCTCAGCAGTGTTGGCCAAGTTCATGCCAGAAAATGTCATGAGTTTATAATAAAGTATCTAGCACTGGGAGGAACTGTAATAATTAAACCCAATTGATAGTGCGCTTAGAGAAACTACTGAAATGGGAAGAATATGTTTTTCCACAGTCCAGGCACAAAATCTCTGCTTTTAGGATCGTTTCCATGATAATTGGCTAACGTTGATCAGCTGCAAGGAGACTCTTTATTTTTTTTAATTTTTTAAATATATATTTTTAAAGATTTTATTAATTTATTTGACAGAGAGAGAGACAGCGAGAGAGGGAACACAAGCAGGGGGAGAGGGAGAGGGAGAAGCAGGCTTCCCGCCGAGCAGGGAGCCCGATACAGGGCTTGATCCCAGGACCCTGGGATCGTGACCTGAGCCGAAGGCAGACGCTTAAGGACTGAGCCACGCAGGGGCGCCAAGGAGCCCCTTTATAAGTCAAAGAGGGGAAATGAGGAGAAGGGGAGCATCCCATTAGTGACCTGATTCATGGCATTCTAACTGGGGGTTCTGAGGGTCCACTGGGTTTTCAGACTTGCTGTTTGAGACGTGCAGAGTTGTGTGTACCTCATGCCAGAAGTACTCCTTTTTCAATTTAGTGAAAAATTTCAGCCAACTCTTCCCTTCTCAGTCCCCAAACCCAAAGCTGTTATTACAGAGACTCACAGTTAAAATACTAGCTCTCAAAGCAGCATTCGGGGTCGACAGGGTGGCTGACCCTGTGGCTTTCCGAAAGAGGAAACGGAGGCCCAGGGAGGATGCAGGAGCTAGGTTACGGTGCATCCCCTGGATGGAGTCTGTACTTGCGTTTTCACTCTGCGTCCTGGGAGGGCTCTGACCCTGGTTTTCAGACCTCACTCACCCACAATCACTCTGGAGCTTTCTTTTCTTCTGTATTCTTTGTTATTAGTTGTATTGTTAAATCACGTTTTAAAAACTCAAACAGGAGAGAGAAAGCTAAAGCCCCTCCTGGCTGTCTTCCCTCCCACCACATTTCCCTGGGCGCAGTCCTTTCTCCAGAGACCCATGGGTATCAGCCTTCTGTGTATCCTTCCCGGCCTTTCTCTCTGCCTGAAAACAGACTTTTATTTGTACGTCAACAGTTATCTAATTTTTATTCATAAATGGGATCATACTATATATATATATATATATATATATATTATTTTTCCGGAGCTTTTTTTGCTTGATAATACGTCTGTGAGGTCTTTCTGTGGCGAAAGATACAGATACAGATTTTCCTCATTGCTTTTAACTGTCTGCTGTGTGGTGCTTTGTATGGGTGTACCATAATTTATTTAGGAAGCCCTTTTAACAAAATACTGCATCAGAAGCTCCAGGAGTGAGACCTAAGAATTTGTATCTTAAACTGCCCACATGATTCAGATGGTCATTATCAGGACGATGGTCTCTATGCATCTGAAGGGATTTCCACTGTGGAGCTTTGGGACGACATTCAGCTTTCCTCCTGATTCCTTATGGTCCTCTCTCTGGCCCTTTCTTGACTAGTTCCTGGATATGGCAACTCTGTGTTCATTGATTCATTCAAACCGTATCAGTGGAACAAGCATTTCCCGGACACTTTATACTGTGTGGTTGGGGGACAGTGTTAATAGAGTGACAGTCCAAGGTTCGAATCCCAGCCCACCATTAGCCAGCTGAGGGACTTCACAGGGGCCTCCTGACCTCACTGGGGCCTGCGTTCCTCAGTCATACTGCAGAGAACGCTACGTGCCTCTTTCAACTGCTGTGAGGATTGAGAACATTTATGCCAGGTGATTCGCCTCAAGCTCAATAACCAAGATAATGTCACCTGCTAATATTGTCCTCATTTACATTTTTATACTTTGTTAATTATTACTTTAAAGGTAGAATCTATTAAACAAATTTTGTCTGACTTAAAGACATGACAGAAAATGAAAAAAAAAAAAAAGGTGTTTGTCCATGTGCCATACATACAGCAACTCCAGAGCTCAGGCTACAGTCCCTCCACTGTGTCTATGGATTCTTGCAGAAATATCATTTGGCATCCGGACACAGTTTCGATGAAGAGGTAGGAAAGAAGAGTCCAGAAGAAGGTCTCTTGGTCCCTGCTTGTAACTTGGAAACTCCTAATTTTACACCAGGACGAGAACATAATACTTAGGCCTGAGATGTATCTGGAAGCAGTTTAGTTAGGAAGGCAACAGGTTAAGAGGTAAACACATTTACGTGTGTGTTATTCCAGTATAGTTCCTGCTACTTCCATTTATTTGCTGCTCCTTTTCTAAGTCATAGGAAGGCTTAGATATGTAGCAAAAAGGTATCTATCTGGGGCAAGTTTACACAGAGTGGAAAGCAGTAGGTTTGGAATCTCCCACTTGATGCAAGCAAGTCATCAATTATCTCCGAGAATGGAGGGGCAGAGAAGTGCCTGCCCAGTAGACAACTGGCCTCTGAGCTTTGCCCCAGGGCGGAGCGGGGGGAGGTGGGGGACTCTGCCTGTTGGCGCCGTCCCCGCCTCGGCGGCCTGTTCTGGAGACTGTCAGGGCAACCCCGGGTCTCGGCGTCTCGCTGATCCGGGATGGCCCGTCTGCAGCTGGTCTTGTCTTTGAAATGGAAGAGCCTGCTGACAAGACAGGACACAGATCCACCCCAGGCACACGGTGTCTCGCTACCATTCAGCGTGTTTTCTGAATCTGTTTCAGAATCTATAATAACTTGCCGGAAGTGAAAAAGAAAAAAGAAGAACAAAAGAAAAGAGTGATCTTACAGAGTAACAGACTCCGTGCTGAAGTCTTCAAAAAGGTAACGGCCTGGCCGCCAGCAGGTGTGTGTGGTACGCAGATGCTGAACCTGACCTTGACGTGTTTGTCTCCTGCTTCCCTAGCAATTACTGGACCAGCTCCTTCAAAGGAACGCGGTCTAACCGTAGGCTGCCCTGCTGACCCACTCCCTGGACCTGGGATGACTTCAAACGCTGGATCAACCATTAAACTTAGCATTATCTTCATGATATGAAACACTTACTTTACTTTTGATTTTTTTTCATGAAGGGAAACACAGCTTCCTGAATTGCTTGCCCAAACCACACAGAAATAGTAACCCTTGAGGAAATGGGCCCACAAGACCGTGGAGGGGTGACCGACACGATGTAAACCACTAGATACAGTCCCCTCAGTTTTCCACTTTGGAATTTACCATTTGCTTCTGATCCCCCCCCCACCCCCGCCACCATTTCCGCCGAGACAGAAAAAGGCCTCCTATGTTCACATGGGCCTAGATCCTAGGGGGTTATTTTTCTTCATCAAATTTTTGGGACCCCCGTCTATCACTTTTTAAGTATCAATCCCAACTTTTGCCAATAATCCACACTTTGGGTCAGCACCCGGTATGTTTAAATACTCTCTGGATGTGTGGGCCACGTAATGCTGGAAGCTGACCTTGGAAGTAAGCAGGTGCTCTTACAGGAACGAGGGAGCGTGCAGTCTGTGTGTCTGCAACCTGGGGTGGGCAGAGCCGTGCTCATGACCCTACCGCACACTGAGTGCTTCTCTTCATTTAGAAAAAGAGTCCATTTCCACAGAAGCTATGAGAGCGGAATTGGTGGGGGAAAAAATTATAGGTGACTTCAGTGTTTTCTGCAAAGTCCCCTCCTCCCAGAACCAAAGCTGTGTTGCTGAAAATGGCCCGGTGGCTCCAACTCTGCCATTTGCTCTTCCAACGCTGATGATATTCATGATTTACCAATGTGTGTTTGGGGAGTTAAGAACTAACTAGTTTTTATCAAAAATGGAAATAAATGCAATTATTACAAAAATGGAAGTATCGCTCTGCTCTCTGTTCCGCGTTATGAACTGAGCGGCTGCTGTGGATGATGCTCGGTGAGAATGCTGTCATGATCCGGGGGCGCCTCTGACCTCTGTTCTGCCACCTTCTCACCACCAGGACCACCCGGGTCGGGAGCCCCGCAGAGCAAGTCTGTTCCCGGAGAGCAGGCGGGAGAGAAGCAAGGAAACTGAAGAGCAAGGTCTAGAATCCTGAACGCCTCCCGTCTCACTAAGAATTGCCCCAGAATGAGAAGGAGGTTTGGGGGATTAAGCAGGAGCCCTGTTGACACCTCCGTCCCCATCCTGAGGCTGTCACTGACCTTCCCTCCTCCCAGTGCTGCATATGCCATCCCTTTTCTGGAATGCCTTTTGTTTTCGTGTCTATCAAAAAACTGTTTAAAAACTCAGCCTTTGGGTTCTCTCCTGACACCTTGCCCGCTGTCCTGCCCTCCAGGATGAATTGGTGCTTTGCCCTTTGGGCACATGGTGTCAGGCCCTGCCAACAGGAGATGAACAACATGGTCCGGAGCAGACTCCGGATTCAGGTCTTGGCTGCATTGTCCCCCAGTCTTTTGCCCTCAGACTAGGGGATCGGTCTGGATCCAATCAGAAGAGAGAAACCGCACAGTAACTTGGCCGGGAAAAGTGTAATGTATATAATTACTTACCATAAAGGGAGTGCAGGAATGAGGGATTGGCTAGTGAGGAGAAGAAACCCGAAAGCCTGCAGGTGGGGACCGCCCCAAGCAGCACGGCCCCATAAAGAACATCCCCTCCTGCCCTGAGCTGACATCCAGACAGGATGTGGCTTAGCAGGTGACAGACATTCCTGTGGTGCCCTGCTGATGGGTCTTGTTGAAAACCCACCTTCTGGAATTTGCTGGAAGCCAGCTCTCTAGGAGGCTTGTGGGCGGGGGCTGGGGAGATGTTATTCTGCTGCAGTACCACCTGAGGGGGCGAGGGGGCGCCCCCTGACTCATAGGAGCCCGCTGAGCAAACGTCTCAGACCTAGGAAGCAGCACCCTTCTGTCCCGCAGTGTCTCTGTCTCCTTGACCAGCAAAGCTTAGCGTTGTACCCACAAACAGAGGGAACACATTTAGGGGACCTGGATCCATTTCAACAGATGAGGCAAGAAGGGCAGCTTTGCAAGGGCAAGATCACACCGCCCAACACGGGCACAGCCAGCTCCTTAGCCTTGCCTCTGTTCCCTCACCTATAAAAAGGAGACGACTCTAGCTCCTCTTCACGAGGTTGCTATGGGAATGGACTCATCAGTGTGAATCGGGTGTTTCGAAGTGTGTCTGGCCCGAAGCAGGCACACCAGAGTGCTTCCTGTCACCCAGATGCAGAAATGGAGGCTGGAGTGTCTTTGGGAACCGTTGGGCCCAGGGGCCATGAGTTGTCCATTCCCATCATCCCTCAGCTTGGCACTGAGAACATGCGCCAGAAAGACCATTGACTCTGTGTAAACTTTGGCTCTCAAGCTCTTCTCCCTCTTAGAAACAGTTTCAACAGCATGGTTTATGCTTACACTTAAGGTTAATCCCGGCATTCATGAACTTCCAAGATGGTACGCTGAATTTCTCTTTAGGCTTTTCACGCTCTCTTAAATCATTTAAGCCAAATCTATGAGCTTAGTTCAGGCCAGTCTTTCTCGGTGCCTCACCTTTTCTTATTTTTCTTTCCTATCTTCAGAGAGTTTCAAAGCTTTTCCTAACCAATAATTTAAATTCAGGGCCCAACCACTTCTAGACTGTCCTGTGACACTTTCTAAGAAGTGGGTTTATGTCACCTAGCAACCGAATATCTCAGAATTCCTGGATGCAGCCAACTTCCCAAAGTTGCTCATGAAGAGCTTACCCCCTCTGCAAAGCGGATGCCAAGTCTTAAAATCTAAACAATAAGTAAAAGTCAACTTGGGATCGAATGCCCTTGAATGATGTATTTCTTTTTTTAAGTTTTTTTTTTTTTTTTTAAGATTTTATTTATTTATTTGACAAAGAGAGCAGGAGAGCACGAGCAGGGCAGAGAGGCAGAGGGAGAAGCAGGCTCTCCGCTGAGCAGGGAACCCAACACGGGTCTCCATCCCAGGACCCTGAGATCATGACCTGAGCCGGAGGCAGTCACTTAACCAAATGAGCCACCCAGACGCCCCTTGAGTGATGTGTTTCTGAGGACATTTCATAACTAAGGCCCCCGAGGTGGAGTCTGGGTGAGTTTGTGATGTCCGGCTCGAGCCGGTCTGTGCTCTGGGCAGTGAGCTCAGGACAGGGCTACAAAGGAAAGTCCTGGTTTCTGCTAAACTGAGTTTCTTCCCCTATTGTTGTTATTTGTTTTGTAATGCTGATGAGTAAATTTGGATTCCCAGCATTTCCTTTGTGTTTTAATAAGGTTATAACAGAAATACAATAGTGTTACAATAATAAATATGGAAGTAAATTTAGGCTTGACACATAACAGCCATCCCTGATATTTCTCTCAGGAACTGGTGGCCCAGTTACTGGATTCTCTTCTTAAAATCAGACTTCAGGAAAGACTTTAATGATTTTGAAATTCTAAGTAGAATCTACCTTTGTAATTTCAATAACCAAATTTTTCGTTCGGGAGCTGATTTCTTTACATCTGAGCATGTTTGGGTTCCGGCATTGGAACGATCCTCCAGTGACACAAGCAGGTAGGAGGAGTTGAAGATTTGCAGCTGACAGCTCATGAGCTCGAACCGAGCAACATTTGAAATAATTTGAGATGGGCAGCCGGTAACAGGACCAGCCTGTCTCACTGTGGTCTCCATGACTTCATGTTGAAGGAGAAATTCCTATTTTGGTATTTATCCTCTCGCCAGCTGGTAATGGAATAATGGAAAAACAATTGCCTTGGTTTTTTTAGCCAGCATGTATTGCCAACCAAACTTCCTGGAAGCTGTGTGCTCCCTGAGTGAGTCAGCAAATGCTTGCTCACATGAAACGAGGCTCTTTGAAAGAACCGTTTGTGAAACACCAGTTGCTGAAGAGTGGTTGAAAATGCTATTGCTTAGGAAGTTCTCCCATTTCAACACTCGGCATACAAATTGTTGGCTATGGACCTGGTCTCTGACTTTTCTCAGATGACCAATGGTCTGTGTGGGAGGCAGGCCAGATGCAGAAGGACGAGATGATGTGACCGGCCAGCAGGAGGCTATGCGACAGTGGGGACCTGGGCCTTCTGGGTTGGAGTAAGAACGAGGTACAGAAAGGACTCACGGTGGCTTTGTGTGAGAGCGTTGGCATGCACGTTGAAAGCAAAGGAAATGATCTGTGAAGTGATGAATATGAGTCTATCAGCAGATGCTCATACGTTATGCCCTTTCACGCGTACTTGGGAGGTGCCCACAAGTGTTGGGCTGAATGGCAGCCTTGGGGAAGGGGCTGATGCTGAGCTGAACCGGCCCACCCCAAGGGACCATCTCTCCAGATTTTTCTCCTTCTCTGTCTGTCCCGAGGTCTTCCCCACTCATCGGGAGAGTGGGCTGTCAGAAAACTCTGTGGGATTCCACGGAGGCCCCCCTTTCTCCTCGCAGTCGGGCTGCTCCTTCACGCAAATGTTTTCTCCACATGGAACCTAGCAACAACATTGGCAAGTCTCCCCGAGAATCGAGGGTTTTTTTTTTTCAAGTCCGTCAGCTGCCTCAGGCACAGTTCTGATCCTGAGACCCCAAGAGACCGTCTGAGGTAGTTGTCTGGGGTGTGTGTCGGGGAGGAGGCATTGAAAAACATCCAGTTTTTCTCGCGTCTCTAGGAAGCTTCTCACGTCCACATGCTGGACGCTGCTGGTCCCTGCCAGGCTGGTCCCTGCCAGGCGGCAGCCAAACCGCAACTTGAAGCCAGAGAGGGAGGAGAGAGCATTTACTTGCCTCTAGGATCTTCAAAAATGTTGGCTTATTCTTATCCAAGCCTACAGAGGAAGAGAATGCAGTTTATGGTCTAAACTGCAGCTGAGAAAAACGATTATGAATGTCTTTCCATCTTTTTTATGAAGCAGCACTAGGAGAAACATAGGAAAAGCGTCCTGTCGATGACGTGCAGAGCATGCTTCCTTTGTTCGGTGTCTCTACTTTGCTGACCTGCCTGAACTGCTGGAACTGACATTCGGGAAAAGATATTACAACCGTCACCCGTGTTGAGTACATACGATGTGTAATATCCTTTCATCAAAG